CCACCAGTAGCCTCCTCCGAGACGCCGGCTTACCGTCAGCCAAAGTCGCCTTAGAAGGCGTCCGTTTACGGGCCGCAGTCCGACTACAGAGGATTGATCGCCGACACCCGCTAGTCGCGCGGCTCTCCCAGCAGGGACAGCAACAGACGAGACTACAACGGACGGCTGAACTTCTGCCAAGATGCGGAAGACCAACGTTCCTCCAATCACAGTACCTGCCAAGCTCACAGGATCAGATAGTAGTTCAATGCAAAGAAGAGGCTGCGAAAGCTTTCGAGCGCTGGCTAAAGACAGTACCGGAAAGCCATATGATCGTCTTCTCGGACGGCTCCAGGGCGACGAACGGAGCCGTGGGGTACGGCTTCGTCATCTACCGAGACTCCAAACGCATAGCGCAAGGGTGCGGCCGACTCGGACTAGCAGAAGTGTTCGACGCCGAGGTCGAAGGGGCGCGAACCGGCCTCAGAAGGGCTCTGCTCACCAATCGCGGTCATCCAATCCACATATGTATCGACAACACCAGCGTTATACAAGGCATCCGCGGCAAGGCGCCGGACTCGTCACAAGACGCGTTCCTCGAAATCCAAGAAGCGGCCAGGATATTTGATATACGGACGCACTGGTCCCCGGGACACCAGGGCATCGAAGGAAACGAGGCCGCGGACCGGCTGGCCAAAGAAGGAACGACACTGCCGGCGCGGATGGGTCAAATGGCAACACTAGCGGGCATCAAGCGGCTTGCAAGGGAAAAATTACAAAGCCAGCACAGGAGATGGTGGTATAAAGAGCGAAGGCCGCGGTACGCGGACTTGGGGCTTGAGGCAGCTCTGTCCAGCCCTCCTGAACTGGCCTTGCCGCGGGCTACGTTACATCACCTGCTGGCGGCACGATCGGGTCACGGGGACTTCGAGCAATATCACCGACGTTTCAACCACGACGACGCTCTAATGATGTGCTCTTGTGGAGAGGCGAAAGACGTGGACCACCTGGTCTACTGTCGACTAACGCTGGCGAGGAGGCAACGGTGGCCGACCCTCCACTCTCGCAGTATGCCCGAGCCCATAGGTCCTATGGGATCTCTCGAGGCCTACTTCAAGAGATTAATCACCGACCCACGAGGCTTCGAGGCCTTTCTCCGCGTGACGGACTTCTTCCAGAAGATCTGTCTGCGGTAGCAGCATCCACACCTAGGTAGATGTGAGTGCGGACTACAAAGAACCTCCCGATTCCAAGGGACGATTTGGGAAAGAATGAAACTGGGGCACCAGCGGGAACCGGGGACAGACAGAACGCGTAGTGGCCACAAGGCATGATTTGGAGGACGATGTAAAGAGACGACGTACTGTAGAGTAGGTAGCCTTGGCTCACGGCCCTCCACGCCATATACCCTTCGGGAGGTCTGCGGTAAGGGCTCTAGCCCGGCCGCCACGGCGTTAAATACAACAACAACAACAACAACAACAACAACAACAACAGTACCGGAAAGATAAAAAGCAAAGAATGTGCCAGCAAAAGGAATATTGGGGACAATAAGTAGGACGGCACAAACTAGCTGTAAAGCGATGGCCAGAGTAGCCATAGGGATGCGAGTGCCAGTGACATCCATATGCCAGGCAGCAAACATGTTCGAGACAATTCCAACAGCTTGAACCCCAAGAGGAAATGTGTTGATCTGGCTCTGTGAGAAGTGGGACGATTGATACTTGAGCCAAATGAGAAAGTTGTTTTGAACTGCCCAGGCCTCCAAGGTGGCGCACACTGGAGACCAAAATAAAAGAATCCAGCTTATGCAGTGTCAGCTGAATTCAAATTACAACGGCGTTCACAAAGCTTACAAAGTGGGTGACATAACCAATCGTTTCATCAGTGATATGGGATTGATACTATGCCCTCCTTCTTTGATAGGCGGAAGGCGGCTAACCGCTAGCTTCTTCTCAGAGTCGCTCAAGTACAATGCCCTGGTGTTCTCTGGAATATCAGGGAAGTAGTAAAACCCGAAGAATGCAACTGGAAGAGTGATAATGCCATCTTGGGGCCAATTAGCGAGCTTCAATTTGACCTTGATGGAAGTATCTTACCAATGAGGAACACCCACTGCCAGCCTCCGAGGCCACCTAGGCCACCCATGCCTTTGTAGATGGCCGCCATCATCACTCCAGCGAACATGGTCCCGACTTGACCAGAAGCAGTGAAAATAGCCGTTCTCTTTGCAATTTCGCTAGGGGTATACCATGATCCAATGATGTAAATAGTCCCTGCATATGTGCTAGCTTCAGCTAATCCAAGGAAAAACCGAACGACACACAGTTGTGTTACGGTCTTGACTGTAGCGCTGACCATGGTCAACCTTTTCATTGACATAAGCTTCTCATTTTTGAAGTTCCACGTGTAAAAATTGAGTGGGATGCTTCAGGTTGTTACTTACGCAGCCCAAACTACTACCATTGACGGAAGCCAGATTCTTGGCGGCACCTTTTGAATGATTAGCCCGTGAGGGATTTGACCAATCGCCATGCTTCCGTATTGTCAGTTGCTGCCAGGTGCTATCGCTAGTGCCATATTGTGATGAAATCACTCACCCAGCAGTTGTGACCGAAAGAACAGTGTTATAATCATGTCCTGACATGTGGAGAGCCTCGCGCAGCCCAGCAACCTGTCATACAAATCAGTACACCTTGGAGAGATTAGGAAGACGTTTTTGACTTACATAGGCATTGGCAAAGGCGGCTCGATCCGTAGGCAAGTAAGTAAAACGGAAGATCACCTTCAAGAATGGCTTACTTGACAAGCAAACGTACCTAGAAAGTTGAAAAAATAACTTAGACAACAATAAGTCTGGCATGAAGATCAGCAGGTAGTCGAAGGCAAGCAAGCAAGCTTCCTATCAAATACCAAGATGAAAAAGTCTGATAAATCAGTCAGATATAAAGCAGCAGCCAGAGAACGCATGGAACGCGAAATTTCGACTCACCAATTTTCTGTACGAGTCGTCTTTCTTCCTTAGTTTTGGCCCCTTCTCCAAGGAAGAAAGCTGCAAGACTCCGGTCAGACTGATTCCAAGGTAAGCTCTGCACCATAGCGCAACGCAACTCACTTCTGACTTTCTCTCCGGCGGATCTCTTGTCGGTCGACATGATCTTGGAGGCCTTCATTTTCAGCATTGCTACACTTCAATACACTTTTGGCGCGTTGACGTGAATGAAGAATGAAAAAGAGAGTCATCCACATCACAACACGACTTGCGTGGAGATAATATGATTAATTGCGTCCCCGCTATATTAGCGATTATCTTGAAAATCTGATAATTCGCCCCGGGAGCATGCTCGCTGGGGTTTCCTCCGAAATATCCTTGCCAAGAATCCGTTTCACAAGCGAACAGAAAATCTTGCTAAGGCAATGATGGTTGACTTCCCGATCTGGGGAACTTGTCGTATAAGCGACCGTTACCGAGCATGACATCCTTGTAATCACCGTCAAGTCGGGATAAAGTCGAGTCAGATCCACGGTTTCCACCAGCTGTTTTGACTTATCGGAGAGATGGCCGGGCACACGAGGTCGCCATCTTCGTACTCGGTGGAGACCATGCAGACGAGGTTCGCGGCCCAAACTCCTTGGTCATCAAATCATAAACACTACTACCCTGTATAAATCATATAATCAGGTTGATAAAAAGCACTTACCATGTATAACTGGACATTCTCACCCTGTTGCACTATTGCTAACTGTTTGGTCAATGGTGTGTGCCTCCTGTCAAATTGATACTAGGAGTAATCGTTGGTGTGAAAGCTGCCACCTTTCTTCTATTGGTTCACTTTAAGCTCATTGAGCATCTCCACACCATACGAACCTAAAATCTAACTGTGTGGAGTTTCATCCGAACCTCCGAGCCTCCGAGCCGAGCACTGGTGAGTCAGCGAACTTGACCCATAACTGCTCCCTGAGCGAACATGGGCAATGTCTTTGGTTTGTTTCAGGGTCACTTTAAATGAACCAACATATGTGCCCCGTAGCTTGTCTTTATTCGGAAACTTTCTTCGGGGAATGAATTTCGTCAGCTGATGCAGCTACTACCACAGTACGTGATCATCCCTGTGCGTTGTATTCGCCACTCATACTACTTTATTGCTCACTCTTTTCCTCTGCGACGAAGCCTGGGTGATCAATGCACGTACTAGGCATGAGTTGGTGCCACAGCTACGAGACGGAGAAGCTTGATCATGGGCTTAGCAAGCGGAACCTTATGAACCAAACGACCCAACCGGCTAAGTCGCGCCGGGCTGTTGCAATCACTAATAGAAGGGTGCAGTTGGCATTGATAAATAGTATGGACAATAACTGATAGAACCTTGGCTCGGTAGTCAGCCCCAATTTCGTTTGCCTTCCTTTCTTAGGGTGCGGGTCGGCGTTTCTTCGACTCCACAGGGATTTTACTCGGGCATCCCCAACGTAAGTGTTCAATCAATGACATTACTATTTTCGCAAGAACATCAGCTGGATGCCAACGTGTGTGCCTTAAATCATCCCGATACCACCTGAAGAATTAGTTAAGTCCACAAACTTTAGTGATTGGGAGTTTAGGGATGTGATGGTGCACAGGCTGCAACATAAGGTAACTCCGGCGAGTAGACAAGCCAAATCGCTACCTAGATTAAGATGAGTTCATGACGGA